TCTACATAGTGAGTGTAGTTGTGTTGCTACACTAGTGAGTGTACTTGTGTTGCTACACTAGTGAGTGTTTCTTGTGTTGCTACACTAGTGAGTGTAGTTGTGGGTTTCTACACTAGTGAGTTGTAGTTGTGTTGCTACACTAGTGAGTGAGTTGTGTTGCTACACTAGTGAGTGTACTTGTTGTGTTGCTACCTTTGTGAGTGTACTTGTGTGTTGCTACACTAGTGAGTTTTAGTTGTGTTGCTACACTAGTGAGTGTAGTTGTGTTGCTACACTAGTGAGTGTAGTTGTGTTGCTACACTAGTGAGTGTACTTGTGTGTTGCTACACTAGTGAGTGTACTTGTGTTGCTACACTAGTGAGTGTACTTGTGTGTTGCTACAATAGTGAGTGTACTTGTGTTGCTACACTAGTGAGTGTAGTTGTGTTGCTACATAGTGAGTGTAGTTGTGTTGCTACCCCAGTGAGTGTAGTTGGTGTTGCTTTCAAATAGTGAGTGTACTTGTGTTGCTACACTAGTGAGTGTAGTTGTGTTGCTAACTAGTGAGTTTTACTTGTGTGTTGGGTGACATAGTGGTGTTTGTTGTGTTGCTACACTAGTGAGTGTACTTGTGTTGCTACACTAGTGAGTGTAGTTGTGTTGCTACACTAGTGAGTGTACTTGTGTGTTGCTACACTAGTGAGTGTAGTTGTGTTGCTACACTAGTGAGTGTACTTGTGTTGCTACACTAGTGAGTGTAGTTGTGTTGCTACACTAGTGGTGTACTTGTTGTGTTGACTACATAGTTGAGTGTAGTTGTGTTGTACACTAGTGAGTGTACTTGTGTGTTGCTACACTAGTGAGTGTAGTTGTGTTGCTACACTAGTGAGTGTACTTGTGTGTTGCTACACTAGTGAGTGTAGTTGTGTTGCTACACTAGTGAGTGTAGTTGTGTGTTGCTACACTAGTGAGTGTAGTTGTGTTGCTACACTAGTGAGTGTAGTTGTGTGTTGCTACACTAGTGAGTGTAGTTTGTGTGTTGCTACACTAGTGAGTGTAGTTGTGTTGCTACACTAGTGAGTGTAGTTGTGTGTTGCTACACTAGTGAGGGTAGTTGTGTTGCTACACTAGTGAGTGTAGTTGTGTGTTGCTACACTAGTGAGTGAAGTTAAGTGTTGCTACACTAGTGAGTGTAGTTGTGTGTTGCTACACTAGTGAGTGTAGTTGTGTTGCTACACTAGTGAGTAGTTAAGTGTTGCTACACTAGTGAGTGTAGTTGGTGTTGCTACACTAGTGAGTGTAGTTGTGTTGCTACACTAGTGAGTGTAGTTAAGTGTTGCTACACTAGTGAGTGTAGTTGTGTTGCTACACTAGTGAGTGTAGTTGTGTTGCTACACTAGTGAGTGTAGTGTTAGTGTTGCTACACTAGTGAGTGTAGTTAAGTGTTGCTGCACTAGTGAGTGTAGTTAAGTGTTGCTGCACTAGTGAGTGTAGTTAAGTGTTGCTACACTTGTGAGTGTAGTTAAGTGTTGCTGCACTTTGGGAGTGTAGTTAAGTGGGTTTCCCGCTTAGTGAGTGTAGTTAAGTGTTGCTACACTAGTGAGTGTAGTTAAGTGTTGCTACACTAGTGAGTGTAGTTAAGTGTTGCTACACTAGTGAGTGTAGTTAAGTGTTGCTACACTAGTGAGTGTAGTTAAGTGTTGCTACACTAGTGAGTGTAGTTGTGTTGCTACACTAGTGAGTGTAGTTGTTGCTACACTAGTGAGTGTAGTTGTTGCTACACTAGTGAGTGTAGTTAAGTGTTCCTGCACTAGTGAGTGTAGTTAAGTGTTCCTGCACTAGTGAGTGTAGTTGTGTTGCTACACAAGTGAGTGTAGTTGTGTTGCTACACTAGTGAGTGTAGTTGTTGCTACACGAGTGAGTGTAGTTGTGTTGCTACACTAGTGAGTGTAGTTGTGTTGCTACACTAGTGAGTGTAGTTGTTGCTACACGAGTGAGTGTAGTTGTGTTGCTACACTAGTGAGTGTAGTTGTGTTGCTACACTAGTGAGTGTAGTTGTGTTGCTACACTAGTGAGTGTAGTTGTTGCTACACGAGTGAGTGTAGTTGTGTTGCTACACTAGTGAGTGTAGTTGTGTTGCTACACTAGTGAGTGTAGTTGTTGCTACACTAGTGAGTGTAGTTGTTGCTACACTAGTGAGTGTAGTTGTGTTGCTACACTAGTGAGTGTAGTTGTTGCTACACTAGTGAGTGTAGTTGTGTTGCTACACTAGTGAGTGTTTGGGTTGGTTGCTACACTAGTGAGTGTAGTTGTGTTGCTACACTAGTGAGTGTAGTTGTGTTGCTACACTAGTGAGTGTAGTTGTGTTGCTACACTAGTGAGTGTAGTTGTGTTGGCTACTATGAGTGTAGTTGTGTTGCTAAAACTAGTGAGTGTTTGTTGTGTTGCTACACTAGTGAGTGTAGTTGTTGCTACACGAGTTTAGTGTAGTTGTGTTGCTACACTTGTGAGTGTTAGTTTTTTTTTTTGCTTTCATAGTGGTGTAGTTTTTTGTTGTTTACTAGTGAGTGTAGTTGTTGCTAACGAGTGAGTGTAGTTGTTTTTTCTCTAGTGGTGTAGTTGTGTTGCTACACTTGTGAGTGTAGTTTTGCTTTCACGTGTGAGTGTAGTTGTGTTGTTTCATAGTGAGTGTAGTTAGTGTTGCTCACTATGAGTGTAGTTGTGTTGCTAACTAGTGAGTGTAGTTAATTTTGTACCTAGTGAGTTTTTAGTTGTGTTTGTACACTAGTGAGTGTAGTTGTTGCTTCAGAGTGAGTGTGTTGTGTTGCTACACTAGTGAGTGTAGTTGTTTTGCTACACTAGTGAGTGTAGTTAAGTGTTCCTGCACTAGTGAGTGTAGTTAAGTGTTGCTACACTAGTGAGTGTAGTTGTGTTGCTACACTAGTGAGTGTAGTTGTTGCTACACTAGTGAGTGTAGTTGTGTTGCTACACTAGTGAGTGTAGTTGTGTTGCTACACTAGTGAGTGTAGTTGGTGTTGCTACACTAGTGAGTGTAGTTGTGTTGCTACACTAGTGAGTGTAGTGTGTTGCTACACTAGTGAGTGTAGTTAAGTGTTGCTACACTAGTGAGTGTAGTTAAGTGTTGCTACACTAGTGAGTGTAGTTAAGTGTTGCTACACTAGTGAGTGTAGTTAAGTGTTGCTACACTAGTGAGTGTAGTTAAGTGTTGAACTTGTGAGTGTAGTTGTTGCTGCACTAGTGAGTGTAGTGTGTTGCTACCTAGTGAGTGTAGTTTAAATGTTGCTAAATCTGAGTGTAGTTAGTGTTCTACACTAGTGAGTGTAGTTGAGTGTTGCTACACTAGTGAGTGTAGTTGAGTGTTGCTACACTAGTGAGTGTAGTTGAGTGTTGCTACACTAGTGAGTGTAGTTGAGTGTTGCTACCTTTGTGAGTGTAGTTGAGTGTTGCTACACTGTGAGTGTAGTTTGGTGTTTCCCACACTAGTGAGTGTAGTTGAGTGTTGCTACACTAGTGAGTGTAGTTGAGTGTTGCTACACTAGTGAGTGTAGTTGAGTGTTGCTACACTAGTGAGTGTAGTTGAGTGTTGCTACACTAGGGGGAGTGTAGTTGAGTGTTTGGCTACAAATGTGAGTGTAGTTGAGTGTTGCTACACTAGTGAGTGTAGTTGAGTGTTGCTACACTAGTGAGTGTAGTTGTGTGTTGCTACACTAGTGAGTGTAGTTGAGTGTTGCTACACTAGTGAGTGTAGTTGAGTGTTGCTACACTAGTGAGCGTAGTTGAGTGTTGCTACACTAGTGAGCGTAGTTGAGTGTTGCTACACTAGTGAGTGTAGTTGAGTGTTGCTAACTAGTGAGCGTTAGTTGAGTGTTGATCCACTAGTGAGCGTAGTTGAGTGTTGATACACTAGTGAGTGTAGTTGAGTGTTGATACACTAGTTAAGTGTTGATACACTAGTTAAGTGTTGATACACAGCTACAAGTGTAGCTGTCTATCAAGTGTAGAGTAAGTTGGGGTGTGTTTTGTGTGTGTGTGTGTGTGTGTTTTTGTGTGTGTGTAAACCAGCTAGGTAGTGAGTGTGACCAGGCTGGCAGGTAGTTTAGTGTGGCTAGGCTGGCAGGTTGTGGGGTGTTTGGGTAGGCTGGCAGGTATTTAGTGTGGTAGGCTGTCAGGTAGTGAGTGTGGCTAGGCTGTCATGTTAGTGTGGCTAGGCTGTTTTCCAGGTAGTGTGTGGCCAGGCTTGGCCAGGTAGTGTTTGTGGCTAGGCTGTCCAGGTAGTGAGTGTTTGGCAGGCTGTCAGGTAGTGGTGTGGTCAGGCTGTCCAGATAGTGTGGCCAGGCTGTCCAGGTAGTGAGTGTGGCCAGGCTGTCCAGGTAGTGAGTGTGGTCAGGCTGTCCAGGTAGTGAGTGTGGCCAGGCTGGCCAGGTAGTGAGTGTGGCCAGGCTGTCCAGGTAGTGAGTGTGGTCAGGCTGTCCAGGTAGTGAGTGTGGCCAGGCTGTCCAGGTAGTGAGTGTGGCCAGGCTGGCCAGGTAGTGAGTGTGGCCAGGCTGTCCAGGTAGTGAGTGTAACCAGGCTGTCCAGGTAGTGAGTGTGGTCAGGCTGTCCAGATAGTGTGGCCAGGCTGTCCAGGTTGTGAGTGTGGCCAGGCTGTCCAAATAGTGTGGTCAGGCTGTCCAGGTAGTGAGTGTGGTCAGGCTGTCCAGGTAGTGAGTGTGGCCAGGCTGGCCAGGTAGTGAGTGTGGCCAGGCTGTCCAGGTAGTGAGTGTGGTCAGGCTGTCCATGTAGTGAGTGTGGTCAGGCTGTCCAGGTAGTGAGTGTGGCCAGGCTGGCCAGGTAGTGAGTGTGGCCAGGCTGTCCAGGTAGTGAGTGTAACCAGGCTGTCCAGGTAGTGAGTGTGGTCAGGCTGTCCAGATAGTGTGGCCAGGCTGTCCAGGTTGTGAGTGTGGCCAGGCTGTCCAAATAGTGTGGTCAGGCTGTCCAGGTAGTGTGGCCATGCTGTCCAGGTAGTGAGTGTGGCCAGGCTGGCCAGGTAGTGAGTGTAGACTCTATTGCAGCGCTGCTGGACTCACTGGCCACGGCCACCGAGACAGAGCAGTGCCCGGGGAAGTGCTTGCACGCCCTCGCTGCTCTAGTCTGTCACGAGGTGGTGCCCGGGACCGACCTCTTGTCCCATCCCAGGAGGAATGCTGCCGGCAAGGGCCCATCCAGGTGAGTCACGTCAGCCTCACCTCAACCCACTCAGGTGAGAGTCACTTCAACCTCACCCCACTCAGGTGAGACCACCACTCTAACCTACCTCACCTCATCCATCACTTCTTTCACGTTACACATGGAGACAAAATCCTCATCTTCTTTTCAGAATGACATGACTTCTTAGTGTACGATAGAAGGTATTGTCTACACTTACAATAGACACTTCGTGCTCTATTATAGATAAGGTTTGGCTTTGTGTAGAGCGCTTTCAAACTGTTTTGCTCTGCTAGCTTCATGGAGAGCTGTGTTTGGCTCTGTATAGAGCATTATCAAGTCATGCTTGGTTCTGTGTAGGGTTTTATCAAGTCTTGTGTCGCTCTGTAGTTTTAGCAAATTATGTTCATCTGTGCATAGAGCTTTATCATGTTCATTTCTGTATAAAGCTTAATTAAGTCATGTTCATCTCTGTGCACAGCTTTATCAAGTTATGTTCATCTCTGTGCAGAACTTTATCAAGTCATGTTCATCTATGTGTAGAGCTTTATCAAGTCATGTTCATCTCTGTGTAGAGCTTTATCCAGTCATATTTGATTTTGTATAGAGGTTCGTCAAGTCATGTCTGTCTCTTTGTAAAGCTTTACCAAATAAATACCTTGCTGTGTAGAGCTTTTTCAGGTCATGTTTAACTCTGTATAGAAATGTGTCAAGTCATGACATGATAAGTTTCACTTAGAGCCAAACTTTGTCTTTAATAAAAGTTTGGCGTGTACCAAATATGTTTCTTTAGTTCATTTGTAATATAAGATAATTTCCAGTTATGTGAGTTTACTGGAGCTTACACCAGGTTGATGTTGCGAGGTGTAAGAGTTTGTCTTGCAGTGTCTTTCCTGTGTTGCAGTGTTACAACACTGGCTGTGTCGGCAAGTGGGGAGAGAGAAGCTCTGTGTTACATGTATTCGTCCTGGGATGGAATGTATCAACTATTAACACAGATATACCACCTGATAAGGGAAGCGAACTCTCTGACTCTGAGGTTAAGTTCTAGGAAGGTCAAAATGTTGGTTAAAGAGAGAGGTCCAGAGGTGAGGCCAGGGCGGTAAATTTATTAAGTTTTACATTAAACTGATTTAAAATAGTTTGAATTGGGGAGGAAAACGTTTTTAATGGTAGAATAGCGAGTGATGGGTCCAACAGCCAGCACGTACATTGTTGTATATATTGATGCTAGATGACTGGTGACAGTCTCTAGGTTCCTGAGTTTGGTATTGTTGTGAAATATCTCTGCTGATCCTCGGTTCAGGACACGGGAGTCTATCCTGCGGTGGATGACGTATTCACTGTTGATATCATAAGTAAGTAAGTAAGTAAGTTTATTCAGGTATACACAAATACAGTTACATAGAATTATCATACATAGCAGTATATGTGTAGAGAACCTAGGATAACCCAAAAAAGTCAGAGTGACTTATTTCCATTGGGGTCCATCCATCGTGTATTTGTGTCCCTGAAGGAGACTTTGAAGATTATTCCTTGTCTCTTCAATGTGAACCTGTACATAGAGCAAAACATGACATAAACCTCTATCTAAATGGAGATGAAATACTGCAGTATTTTTTTTTTTTTTTGGGGGGGGCAGGTTTCTGAGACTTGGGAATTTATGGTTTAATACTAACAACAGCCGAGTTCATACTGGTTTTACGAAAAAAATGTGAGTGGTGAATATAGAGACGATGAAGAACAAGACGAGGGTTGACGTTGGGGCAGTGAGTGGTGAGTCAGTAGTACATTCATCTTGCATGACGTGTGACAACCCAGACTCCTCCATGTATATTTGCTCATTTGCCAAGAATTCGCCATCACAAATATTGAGGCGCGAAAAAGGCAGCCGATAACCCCAGTAGAAATAAGCCAGACAGTCTGGTGGTATGGCTACATTGAGCTATTTTGGGTTACCAACCCTCCGGGTTAATAAAGTGAAGAAAATCTTTGTGTGACGAAACAAACTCTTGGTCTCTAAGTCGTGATGGGAAAAAATTGGAATTAAATCATTCTTGGTAGACAACAGCAAAAGCCGACGAGTGGAAATGAAGACACATGTAGCAGAGAATCTTTTATACAACGTTATAAAGCCCAGGCTTGGATGAAAAGTTGCATTAAAGCATAATCTGCTGCTAGTATTTTCATTTTCTCTCATTCTTATTTGTGGACTTCCGGTAAGCTTTGTGTTTGTGTTACTTTCCTTGATGAGGAAAACGTCAAGAAATGGAAGAGAGTTCTTGTTTTCCCCCAGAGTGAACATTATAGACGGTTCCATTGGGTTGAGATTATCCAGTGAAGGTTGATATGCCTAGAGATGATGACCAGAACATCATCCACCTCACGTGATGTGTGGAGTAATGGTATTGAACGGGACTTTTCCGGGATGATTTAATTGATTTCTTATCCCTTCACCATGTCAACAAACATGGCGTCGTCCTGGCTTTGTGCTTCACACTCTCAGGATTTGCAACGACGAATTCTTGGCATGCGAGCAAAAATACACCGAGGACGTTTTTGCTGTCTTGAAGTTTCCTCTACACGTGATCTACACCCTCAAGAGGAAGGCCCTGTTAGGTCACACAAGTCTCCTCCCAACAGGACAAGCAGCTGCGCCTGTTGCCCCCATTTTTCATAGAGTCAACACTAACGTGGTTGTTACTGTTAAGCCATAAAGATATCACCAGACCTCATAGACCCGAAACACCACTACTGACAGGGGTGTAAAGTATTCCTTGCGGGGGATGCAGCAAGATTTACGTTGGGAAGCCAGGTATGACTCTTCAGACTCGCCTTCAAGAACACGTGCAGGATGGATGATATGACAATGTATGTGTTGTCCACCGCAGGATAAACTCTCAAATTATAAACTAAAGTCAGCAGAGCAAGGTGTTTCAGGAGGACAGCACCAAACACAGGATTCTGTAAATGGTCAGACGGATCATCTTACTGAGACCATTAAGCACAACAGGGGAATGATATAACGGTATGCAATATCGGCAAGTTGAAGAATAAGACACATGTTCAACACTAGGAATCTTTGCTGACGAAACGTTCCGCTTGCGCTGTAGGCTTTATCAGTTGAATACAGAGATGAATTACGCTCCTGGAGAGAGCAACTTCTGTGGAAGATGAAGTAGACGAGTAGAGAGGTAGTTCGTTGTATCAAGCCATCAGTCTTGGTGAAAGATAATCAGTCTCTTAGATTCAAACAGAAAAAACTCACTCTCAGGTAAGGAGAGAGCGCGTAAGTGGCGATAGGCGAAGAAAAGAACCAGAGAAGAATGTCTTTAGTTGTATAAACAGAGCCAGGACTTAACCCAGCAGCGGAGTAACTTATAGCGAAGAGTAACAACCTTCAGTCTGGGGACAGCTGGTAGGAGCCTTAGTCATAAAGTTCAGTGTACTGTTTTGATCCATTCTTATTTTGTTAGGTACGTGAGTGTACATATTTGTTGAAGTCTTCTTTGAACTGTTTCACATCATCTTGGATTTGTGAAGTTGTATGGGACAACGGTCGTGTATTTGACAGTTCTAATGCAGAGTCGAGGCTGGAGTTCTTGGGTGAACATGGTGTTCTTGTTCGTAGATGTAGTGGAGACTTGTAGATTTTTCCAGGTGAGGCCAGAGGTGTGGTTGTCTGCTTTAATTTCTTCTTCAGAGGTATGTGAATCTTGATATTCAGGCAATGTTGTTATGGTTATGGAGGTGGCGGCAGACAGGTAGGGCAGGTGGAGTGGCTTGGATTTCTTGGGAGGCTGAGGCTGGTAGGTTTGGAGTGGCTTGGGCGGCAGTGAATGGAGGGGCAGCAGCGATTGGAGGATCTGTTGGAACGGTGATTCCTCCTATATTGTGGAGGATTTTTAGTATGTCTGGACAGAGTGGTATCGGACGCGTCAGGCTGGGCAGGTGGTTGGTGGTAGAGTTGAACGTCCCGGGAAAAGCTGTGTTTTGAATGTCTGCATAGATCATGGAGTACATGATCTTGATGGAAGGATTGTCCTGGAATGTTGGAAGAGTAGTGATTGCGGAGGCTGGTTGTTGGGTTATTAGGAGAATCTTCTGAGTATCATCCTGGAGTCGAGTGATGGTAACATCGGTCGGTGTCTTGATGGAATTAAGTTTCTTTCGTTTCTTGACTTTTTTCTTATATATATCCTCAGTGACCATTTAGCTGCAAGCGTGTGACAGTTACTCAGGAAGTTGACATTTTGGCTGAATGGTTGAGGTGCAGTCTGTGTGTGTCCTTTGTTGTCACTGTTGTTGGAACATTAGTTCTGCTCCTTCAGTGGACAGTCCTTAGCGAGGTGTATATAAGAGTAGCAGTTCCAGCACGGGGTAATGTGAGGGTAGCGCTCTGGCTGCATATTTCTGGAGTTGACCTGGTATAGGAGATTCGGAGACAGACGTTGAGTGCTGGTGAAGTCATGGAGATCTCGGAGGAAGCGGTGGTTTTTTTTTTATGATCACATCAATAGTAGCCTAATCGTTTTAGTCTCTAATTAGGTTTTTTTTCAGTTCGGTCTGTGATTGGTAATGTCGCGATCTAGCCTCTTAACACTCACTGATTTTGAGGTGAAGCAGCTAGGGGATGAGGTCACAGATGAGCTGCGCCCACCAATGGAAGTAGGTCATGCTAAACAGTCGTTAGCCAAAGGAATTGCTGAAGACATCTTTGTACCAAGATTCCATTTATATGATACTTGTCTGATGCTACAACATGACGGAATCTTCATAAAAGAGATACGTTCAGCAACACTTTTTGCTAACATCAGTTTAGTACAACCTACTTGGACTAGTGAGTCCAGCTCACCTGTGACCTCATTTCCAAGCTGCTACACTTCATCTTCCAGAATATAAGCCTCTGGCTACAAGCTTCTACTCTAGGTTAAGAGACTGATTTTCTTGCATCAAGGATAGACTGAGACCTCAGAATCCCTCTCCACTCTGTCTAGATTCCTAGTGTTGCACCTGTCTCTCTTCTTAACAATGGAATGTACTTGTTGGCTGGAGACATCACTCACAAAATCCACGAGTCCCTCACATCATCCACGAGTACCTCACATTATCCACGAGTCACTCACGTCATCCACGCGTCACTCACCTCATCTCTTACCTCATCCTTGGACCTTTTTATTTATTCCACCTTTTGACCTCTCTCGAGCTTGACCTCAGGCTGGTTGTTTGCTTTGTAACTGCTGTATTATTGTGTGTGTATATATATATATATATATATATATATATATATATATATATATATATATATATATATATATATATATATATATATATTATATATATATATATATATATATATTGAAAGAATTAAGAGTAAGACGGAGAATAGGATAGCAGATGAACAAGGAGGCTTTAGGAAAGGTAGGGGGTGTGTGGACCAGGTGTTTGCAGTGAAACATATAAGTGAACAGTATTTAGATAAGGCTAAAGAGGTCTTTGTGGCATTTATGGATTTGGAAAAGGCGTATGACAGGGTGGATAGGGGGGGCAATGTGGCAGATGTTGCAGGTGTATGGTGTAGGAGGTAGGTTACTGAAAGCAGTGAAGAGTTTTTACGAGGATAGTGAGGCTCAAGTTAGAGTATGTAGGAAAGAGGGAAATTATTTCCCAGTAAAAGTAGGCCTTAGACAAGGATGTGTGATGTCACCGTGGTTGTTTAATATATTTATAGATGGGGTTGTAAGAGAAGTAAATGCGAGGGTCTTGGCAAGAGGCGTGGAGTTAAAAGATAAAGAATCACACATAAAGTGGGAGTTGTCACAGTTGCTCTTTGCTGATGACACTGTGCTCTTGGGAGATTCTGAAGAGAAGTTGCAGAGATTGGTGGATGAATTTGGTAGGGTGTGCAAAAGAAGAAAATTGAAAGTGAATACAGGAAAGAGTAAGGTTATGAGGATAACAAAAAGATTAGGTGATGAAAGATTGGATATCAGATTGGAGGGAGAGAGTATGGAGGAAGTGAATGTATTCAGATATTTGGGAGTGGACGTGTCAGCGGATGGGTCTATGAAAGATGAGGTGAATCATAGAATTGATGAAGGGAAAAGGGTGAGTGGTGCACTTAGGAGTCTGTGGAGACAAAGAACTTTGTCCTTGGAGGCAAAGAGGGGAATGTATGAGAGTATAGTTTTACCAACGCTCTTATATGGGTGTGAAGCATGGGTGATAAATGTTGCAGCGAGGAGAAGGCTGGAGGCAGTGGAGATGTCATGTCTGAGAGCAATGTGTGGTGTGAATATAATGCAGAGAATTCGTAGTTTGGAAGTTAGGAGGAGGTGCGGGATTACCAAAACTGTTGTCCAGAGGGCTGAGGAAGGGTTGTTGAGGTGGTTCGGGCATTTGGAGAGAATGGAGCGAAACAGAATAACTTCAAGAGTGTATCAGTCTGTAGTGGAAGGAAGGCGGGGTAGGGGTCGGCCTAGGAAAGGTTGGAGGGAGGGGTAAAGGAGGTTTTGTGTGCGAGGGGCTTGACTTCCAGCAGGCATGCGTGAGCGTGTTTGATAGGAGTGAATGGAGACAAATGGTTTTTTAATACTTGACGTGCTGTTGGAGTGTGAGCAAAGTAACATTTATGAAGGGGTTCAGGGAAACCGGCACGCCGGACTTGAGTCCTGGAGATGGGAAAGTACAGTGCCTGCACTCTGAAGGAGGGGTGTCAATGTTGCAGTTTAAAAACTGTAGTGTAAAGCACCCTTCTGGCAAGACAGTGATGGAGTGAATGATGGTGAAAGTTTTTCTTTTTCGGGCCACCCTGCCTTGGTGGGAATCGGCCAGTGTGTTAATAATATATATATATATATATAATATATATATATATATATATATATATATATATATATATATATAAATGGACAAGTTCTGCCCATATATATATATATATATATATATATATATATATATATATATATATATATATATATATATATATATATATATATTATATATATATATATATATATATATATATTATATATATATATATATATGTACACTTGATATAGTTCAGTTTTAAACAAGATGTTATAGCAGTATTGATTAAGACTTCCATTCAACGTTATCTCAATAAGTTGATATTGTGGAAACGTTTCACCACACAGTAACTTCATCAGTCCAGTATAAAGAATTATGATGAAGATCAGAAGGAGTTTGAGGTAATCAGTCCCTCAGCCTTGAGGCTGGAGGGACTGATTACCTCAAACTTCTTCTGATCTTCACCATTTTTCTTCATATTGTACTGATGAAGCCACTGTGTGGCGAAACGTTTCCACAATAAAGATACCCAAGAGTTGCACATGTGTCTAATTTATCAACATATTTCTCTCACAACACTGGTGTAGCTTGGAATTTCCTAGGTTCACCTGGGTACTAGTTACTATATTTAGGAGGGAGCGCTTAACCTGTAGGGGTTATACAGAGCCAAGTGAATGAGAAGAAGTCAAGTTGTATCGAAGGAAGAGAACACAAGTTCAGTTTGATGGATCAGTATTCCCTCACTAACAAGTACTGTGATGGAAACAACTTACCTGATACATTATATACCTTCCTTATCTTGTATAACTTAAATTTTTGCCTTACAGAAAACCTAACTTGTTATTGACTGTCAACTTTTTGTTCCCACATTATGTAGTAAGTAAACACTCTTGTTCGTAACTTTTATAAGGTAAATGGTGTAGCTTTCTCTTCTGTCAACCATGTCCATGGTGTAAATCTTGTGTTGAACAACCTCTGTCTTCACTGTTCTCTCAACATTATTTATGGTGTAAATCTTGTGTTGAACAACCTCTGTCTTCACTGTTTCTCTCAACATTATTTATGGTGTAAATCTTGTGTTGAACAACCTCTGTCTTCACTGTTCTCTCAACATTATTTATGGTGTAAATCTTGTGTTGAACAACCTCTGTCTTCACTGTTCTCTCAACATTATTTATGGTGTAAATCTTGTGTTGAACAACTTCTGTCTTCACTGTTCTCTCAACATTATTTATGGTGTAAATCTTGTGTTGAACAACCTCTGTCTTCACTGTTCTCTCAACATTATTTATGGTGTAAATCTTGTGTTGAACAACCTCTGTCTTCACTGTTCTCTCAACATTATTTATGGTGTAAATCTTGTGTTGAACAACCTCTGTCTTCACTGTTCTCTCAACATTATTTATGGTGTTAATCTTGTGTTGAACAACCTCTGTCTTCACTGTTGCTAACATTACTGATGGTGTACATATCGAGTACCATAATCCCTCCTCTATCTTCTCTCTTAATACAATAATTTAATAAACATCTTTGTATTCTTAACATTTAAATTTGTACAAGACTGTTAGTGTATGATTGTGATGGTGTCTTTATTAAGTTAAGACAGTCGCAGCCAACATGCGACGCACTTCACTACTGTGTGAGGCCATGATTGTGATGCTGTCTTTATTAAGCTAAGACAGTCGCAGCCAACATGCGACGCACTTCACTACTGTGTGAGGCCATGATTGTGATGGTGTCTTTATTAAGCTAAGACAGTCGCAGCCAACATGCGACGCACTTCACTACTGTGTGAGGCCATGATTGTGATGGTGTCTTTATTAAGCTAAGACAGTCGCAGCCAACATGCGACGCACTTCACTACTGTGTGAGGCCAGATTGTGATGGTGTCTTTATTAAGCTAAGACAGTCGCAGCCAACATGCGACGCACTTCACTACTGTGTGAGGCCATGATTGTGATGGTGTCTTTAATTAAGCTAAGACAGTCGCAGCCAACATGCGACGCACTTCACTACTGTGTGAGGCCATGATTGTGATGGTGTCTTTATTAAGCTAAGACAGTCGCAGCCAACATGCGATGCACTTCACTACTGTGTGAGGCCATGATTGTGATGGTGTCTTTATTAAGCTAAGACAGTCGCAACCAACATGCGATGCACTTCACTACTGTGTGAGGCCATGATTGTGATGGTGTCTTTATTAAGCTAAGACAGTCGCAACCAACATGCGATGCACTTCACTACTGTGTGAGGCCATGATTGTGATGGTGTCTTTATTAAGCTAAGACAGTCGCAGCCAACATGCGACGCACTTCACTACTGTGTGAGGCCATGATTGTGATGGTGTCTTTATTAAGTTAAGACAGTCGCAGCCAACATGCGACGCACTTCACTACTGTGTGAGGCCATGATTGTGATGGTGTCTTTATTAAGTTAAGACAGTCGCAGCCAACATGCGACGCACTTCACTACTGTGTGAGGCCATGATTGTGATGGTGTCTTTATTAAGCTAAGACAGTCGCAACCAACATGCGATGCACTTCACTACTGTGTGAGGCCATGATTGTGATGGTGTCTTTATTAAGTTAAGACAGTCGCAGCCAACATGCGACGCACTTCACTACTGTGTGAGGCCATGATTGTGATGGTGTCTTTATTAAGTTAAGACAGTCGCAGCCAACATGCGACGCACTTCACTACTGTGTGAGGCCATGATTGTGATGGTGTCTTTATTAAGTTAAGACAGTCGCAGCCAACATGCGACGCACTTCACTACTGTGTGAGGCCATGATTGTGATGGTGTCTTTATTAAGTTAAGACAGTCGCAGCCAACATGCGACGCACTTCACTACTGTGTGAGGCCATGATTGTGATGGTGTCTTTATTAAGTTAAGACAGTCGCAGCCAACATGCGACGCACTTCACTACTGTGTGAGGCCATGATTGTGATGGTGTCTTTATTAAGCTAAGACAGTCGCAGCCAACATGCGATGCACTTCACTACTGTGTGAGGCCATGATTGTGATGGTGTCTTTATTAAGTTAAGACAGTCGCAGCCAACATGCGACGCACTTCACTACTGTGTGAGGCCATGATTGTGATGGTGTCTTTATTAAGTTAAGACAGTCGCAGCCAACATGCGATGCACTTCACTACTGTGTGAGGCCATGATTGTGATGGTGTCTTTATTAAGTTAAGACAGTCGCAGCCAACATGCGACGCACTTCACTACTGTGTGAGGCCACTACAGTAAGATTTTCCACACCTGAGTAGCTAGCACAAATGAACTTACTAGACCATTGGTATCTAACTCGCCGTCACTACGCTTCTCTTAACTAACACAGTTCCTGCTGTCTGCTGCTGACTTATTCACTAACACACACACTGCATGTTTATCTAATTTATTATTATTATTATTATTATTATTATTATTATTATTATTATTATTATTATTATTATTAGTACTAGTAGTAATAATATGGGAAAGCAGTAAACTCTTAAAGGTAATTACAGAGAATGTAGTAACTAGATTTGATTCAAGGAAAGGCTGAGTGCTCAGCTTCCTTGGATCAGGAGTCCTTCAGCAGCATTAGGGGATAATATTTTATTGTATAAAGAACAATTAACATATTTACTGTAATATTGATAAATATTTTATTACTTTATTATTATTATCTCCAGGTACTGATAATACTGTTGTTTTTATTAATGTTAAATATTGGTAATACTGTTGTCTTTATTACGTAATGTTAAATATTGGTAATATTGATGTCTTTATTCATGTTAGGTACTGGTAATACTGTTGTTTTTATTCATGTTAGGTACTGGTAATACTGTTGTTTTTATTCATGTTAGGTACTGGTAATACTGTTGTTTTTATTCATGTTAGGTACTGGTAATATTGTTGTCTTTATTCATGTTAGGTACTGGTAATACTGTTGTTTTTATTCATGTTAGGTACTGGTAATACTGTTGTTTTTATTCATGTTAGGTACTGGTAATATTGTTGTCTTTATTCATGTTAGGTACTGGTAATATTGTTGTTTTTATTCATGTTAGGTACTGGTAATATTGTTGTCTTTATTCATGTTAGGTACTGGTAATACTGTTGTTTTTATTCATGTTAGGTACTGGTAATACTGTTGTTTTTATTCATGTTAGGTACTGGTAATACTGTTGTTTTTATTCATGTTAGGTACTGGTAATACTGTTGTTTTTATTCATGTTAGATACTGGTAATACTGTTGTTTTTATTCATGTTAGGTACTGGTAATACTGTTGTCTTTATTCATGTTAGGTACTGGTAATAATGTTTGTCTTTATTCATGTTAGGTACTGGTAATACTGTTGTCTTTATTCATGTAAAGTACTGGCAATACTGTTGTCTTTATTCATGTTAGGTACTGGTAATAATGTTTGTCTTTATTCATGTTAGGTACTGGTAATACTGTTGTCTTTATTCATGTAAAGTACTGGCAATACTGTTGTCTTTATTCATGTTAGGCACTGGTAATACTGTTGTCTTTATTCATGTTAGGTACTGGTAATACTGTTGTCTTTATTCATGTTAGGTACTGGTAATACTGTTGTCTTTATTCATGTTAGGTACTGGTAATACTGTTGTCTTTATTACTGGCTAGCAGACCCAAGTCGATTATAATCTGCATGTTAATGGTGGTAATAATAGCAGTAGTGGTAGTATCGTATTATTATTATTATTATAATCAAAAAGAAGCGCTAAGCCACAAGGGCTATACAGCGCTGCAGTATCGTAGTAGTAACAGTAATAGTAACAGAACTAAGCTATGTAGATCGGCACGAGTGGAGGATCAGTGAAGCTTTTTGTAACCACCACATAGATGGTGTTACATTGCAGTAATTAACAGAAAGGTGGTGTTACATTGCAGTGATTAACAGAGGTGGTGGTGTTATATCGCAGTAATTAACAGAGAGGTGATGTTACATTGCAGGCAGCAGCAACACTGACCCAGTGACGGACTCAACCGTGGATGTCACAGACGATACTCAAGAGGTTTGTACCTTAGTCTCTCTCTCTCTCTCTCTCTCTCTCTCTCTCTCTCTCTCTCTCTCTCTCTCTCTCTCTCTCTCTCTCTCTCACACACACACACACACACACACACACACAAGAATGAAGGAACACTTCAGCAGGTCTACTGGCCCATATTAGGCAAGTTCTTCTCAAATCCAGTCATTCTGATTTATTTCCAAACCTGCCCAAGAAATTAGGTTCAGTACCTCATGCTAGGCAGGTGGTTACCCAACTCGACCCTTTTCACTCGTATAATTGTCAAAGTTATTTGTAAAACTAGCCAAGGTTTTGGCTTGTATGAGCCTTCGTGGCAGTGTTTTTCCACTCTTCGACAACTCTGAAAACCAGTCTTTTTCCTGCATCCTTTCTAAATCTAAATTTATCTAAATTAAATTCGTTATTTCGAGTTATTTATTGATTCGGTAACTTCAGTACTTTGTGTGGAAAAGACACTTATGTACAGTTCAGGGCATTTATTAGAAGGAACGTTTCGCCACTAGTGGTAAAACGCTTGCTCTAATAAATGTCCTGAACTGTACATAAGTGTGTTTTTCCACATCTTGTGTATATCACCATAGCATTTTTCAGCAGTTTATATCAGCTTTGTTTATGTCTTGTCTTTCACTTATACGTCTTTCAAGAGAGTGGTGGTTCAGGGCTCTCAGTCTTTCCTCGTAAGAGACTCTTTATGCAGTGAATTAATTTTGTCGGCGCCTCTCATAAGATTTAAATTTTGCCGCCGAAGTGGCCCTTATCCATCCTGTGGACGGTAGCGCAAGAACATATGAATACACAAAAGGCCCAGGAACTAGACCCCAAAAGGGCTTGGTAGATAAGACACATAGGCAACAGTTAGGCAACTTTATTCCGAAACGTTTCGCCTACACAGTAGGCTTCTTCAGTCGAATACAGAAAGTAGGCAGGAACAGTAGAGATGTGAAGACGATGTAATCAGTCCATCACCCTTGAAGTCGTAGAATTTGAGGTTGTCAGGGTGATGGACTGGAGTTACCTGGAGTTTACCTGGAGAGAGTTCCGGGGGTCAACGCCCCCGCGGCCCGGTCTGAGACCAGGCCTCCTGGTGGATCAGAGCCTGATCAACCAGGCTGTTGCTGCTGGCTGCACGCAAACCAACATACGAGCCACAGCCCGGCTGATCCTGAACTGACTTTAGGTGCTTGTCCAGTGCCAGCTTGAAGACTGCCAGGGGTCTGTTGGTAATCCCCCTTATGTGTGCTGATCACATCGTCTTCACATCTCTACTGTTCCTGCCTACTTTCTGTATTCGACTGAAGAAACCTACTGTGTAGGCGAAACGTTTCGGAATAAAGTTGCCTAACTGTTGCCTATGTGTCTTATCTACCAACCTGTCGGTATTGTATACCATTTTGATGCCTAAAAGGGCTTACAGGAGTACATCTGGATTTATATCTACAGTTCGCTTATCTGTTGCAAACAAACTTAGCTAATTTAGGAAATTTGCTTAATATGTCTTGCATTTTATTTTCATTAATAATACATCTTGACATATTATACAACAATACAATTTTGACATATTATGCAATAATACAATCTTGACATATACAATGAAGTACAGTGTTGAACATAGTGACTATAAAGGTGTTTGATATAAGTTTAGAAAACCGACAAGTTGAAAAATGAGACACTTGTGTAACATCTGGATATCTTTAGTGTAGACGTTTCGCTTTATCAATACATATTTAAGGACATAATAGGAAAACAGAACTATATACAAAAGACGTGGTAATCAGTCCCTCAACCTTGGAGTTTGTGAAGAGCACCGTAGTCTTAAAGATTCTGAGACACAGGCATGAAGATTGGTGTTAGTATACTGGCGTCAGGTGAGGGACGTGTAGCAGACGATGACCTTGTCACTGGTACCCAGTGGAAGTAGGTCATACCCAAAGGATGGGCCAGGTTTTGGAGATGTCCTCTGTACCAAGATTCCATGATGTTACTGCGTCTAACAAGTTGTACATGTATGGTATACAATACCGACAAGATAGAGAATTAAACACATGTGCAACATCTGGGTATCTTACCTGTAGACGTTTCACCATCCAGTGGCTTTACCAATACAAATTGTACTATTGGTCCATCGCTTGCTAACAGTCTCGTCTTCAGTGCTGCTGCTACACTTATTGTTCTTCACAGTCACCAACCACTTTATTACACGTTGCCAAATGTAATTTAAATTTCTTATTTTCCTCCTTAAGAAGTAAAACTTCCTCAGCTTTACTTCTGTAACACTACAGAAACAAACCTTGGTAACACTACTGACCCTCCCTCCCCCCCCTCTCTCTCTCTCTCTCTCTCTCTCTCTCTCTCTCTCTCTCTCATGGTGATGTATATTAATAAGAATGATGTACGAGTATGCTGGTTATGACGATGTTTGTTATGATGACTCGAACCCAGGTTGTACTGACCCGCCTCATGGTGAGCCAGAACCACATGACGCCTT